TCACAATAAATGGAGAAAAGATTCAAGTTATCAAAGATTTCATATTGAATCCACAATCAACACCCATGTAAGCAGCACTCAAGAAATCAGAGTCGTACTGCACTGGGCAAATCTGCTGCAAAAGACCTCTTTAAAGTGCTGAGGAGCAAAGACGTCTCTTTGAAGACTAAGGTGTGTCTGACCCTGGTCATTGTATTTTCAATCGCCTCATATGCATGTGAGAGCTGGACAATGAATAAAGAAGACTAAAGAAGAGTTGATGCTTTTGAGTTGTAGTGTTGGCAAAGAATGCTGAAAGTACTGTGGACTGCCAGAAGAATGAACAAATCTGTCCTGGAAGAAGTGTAGCCAAAATGCTCCTTGGAAGCAAGAATGCCCAGACTTTGTCTCACCTACTTTGGTCATGTTGTCAGAAGGGACTGTTCCTGGAGAAAGATATCATGCTTGATAGAGTGGAGGGTCAGAGAAAAAGGGGAAGACCCTCAACAAGATGGATTGGTAGTGGCTGCAATGATGGGCTCAGGTATAGTGAGGATTGTGAGACTGGCACAGGACCGGGCAGTGTTTGGTTCTATGTACTTAGGGTCGCAATGAGTTGGAGCCAACTTGACGGCACCTAACAACAACACTGACTGAGCATTTTCTATGTCCCAGTACTGTACTAAGTGCTTGATATATATTACAGTTAATCCCCACAGTAACAATACAAAGTAGGCAGGTACTATTTTCACCCCATTTCACAGATGGGAAAATTAAAATCCAGGGACGTGACTAACTTTACTCAAGAACATACAGCACAAAGGTCTGTACACACTCAAGTCCACACTCTTAACCACTATGGCATCTTGCCTCCAAGAACCACAGTGGGCAGTGAAGGCCGGGGCTGCCTTCATAGACGGCATATGTGAGGGCACGAGCTGACAAGAGGTGATGCAAAAGATGCAGAAATACATGGAAAACGTGGCTACCATTTCTGAGCTTTAAAAGAACCTGTAAAACAAACATGCAAATCAGAACTTTATGTCATCTTGGTGGTTGGAAAACTGGCTATATAATAGGTTGGGTTCTGAAAATCAAATGGTAGAATAAGGGGGAGAGAGAAGACAGACCTGACTTATTACCCTGAGGAATAATGAGGGAGGAAAGGAAGAGAACCACTGACAGCAGCGGTGACTGCGGGGATGGGACAGGGGGAAGCAGAGCATACTGCTTAGCTTTGGTTCTAATCTAACACAGGAAGAAAGGGAGACTACAAAGTCCATTTATAGCCATACTCTGGCCTGCTCTGTCTAACCTGCAACACAGTTTAGAAGAAGGTATGACCACAGAGCTCATTTCCGTTGCAAATGACTAAGGCTGTATCCGAGTTTTATCTTTGGATGACGTAAAAGGAGAAGTTCTAGGACTCAGTGTGACTCTGAGCCAGGGGCAATCACAGAGGGCTGTCTAGTCATTTTAAGTCAACGCTGCCCGACTAAACAATCAGGATGGTGACGCCTGGGAAAAAGAAGATACATAGCTTGTTTGTCCGTAAAACTGTCAAGGCCAAATCTGGGGCTGGAATATTTTCAAAGCAACATGCACCCAATTAAAATTAATACATGATAAAGGGAGTGGGGGTGTTTTTACTTTTACTTTTTTCTTTGCTACTAAGTTGCATCAGCTCTGTAGCTGTAAACACACAGCTGCCGAGGTAGGCTCCAGACACACTTTCTTCCTGATGATGCCACACCAGCCCACAGGGTAGGGAGGCCAGGAGTTATTGAAACATGAGATGTTTCCTCTAGGAGGTAACAAGGAAGGGTTGGAAACCTCACCAAAGCTTAGAAGTTATCTCTGGAGTTCAGACAGCATTTACAGAATCCAGTATGATGGAGACTTCTTCCTCCTGGACATCAGTCAAGATTGCATCACTCTGGCCTGCCCCAGCTCCTTAGGGGTGGAGGCTTAACAACTTCAGGCCCTTGACATGCAAATCAGACAGTCTCACTGCTGATAAATGTTTCTGAAGAGGCACTTTTGTCTTTTGCTCCTTGCTACTCCCAGTTTCCACCTTTTTTATTGTTCTCAAAATTCCACAAAAGTGGGAAAATCAAATTGACCTTAATAGAAGACCCTCACTAAATTGGGTTTAAAGTAGGGACTTTGAAATTAAACTACCTGGTCCAAATTCTGGCCTTACTACTGACAGCTGTTTTACTTTGGGCAAGTTACTTAAACTCTCTGTACCTCAGATTCCCCACATGTACAATGAAGATAAATGTACCCACAACATGGGTACATGTAAATACATTTACAGTTTTTAGAACAGGGCCTCACACATAATAAGCACTCAATAACTGTTAGCCATTATTATTAACACATCTTTTGCAGTCAAAGGCTGATCAACATCTCAAGGCAAAAGTTTTGTAGTTACTCTTCTTTCAAATACTGAAGACCATGTGTAATTAACTCAGTGTGGAACAGTTTGAGAGAGAAGGGTCAAATGGGTTTGGGGATGAGGATTGGGCTGGAGAGGAGGGCAGGGTGATAAAGCCTGAGGGGCAAGACAATCCTGAGGGATGAAGGGTCACAGTGTAACCTCATCTTGACCTCCACGGGACCAGCTGAGCTCCCGGAATCTGGCAGCCCCAGAGGACTCAGCACTTGTTGACTGAATGGCTTGCTGCCAGCCTGGCCCAGGAAGTGCACGAAAGGGTAGACTTGTGATTCCTCAGAAGAGGGATGTGAGGCTTACAAGAACTGATGAAAAATGTGAAGTGAGCTCTAACCCTGGGATTGGAGACTCTTTTGAGTTTTAGATGAAACATCCTATATTTTTTCTCTCTCATCACATATAAAAGAGGAAAGAAAGAAAACACCAGAAACCCTATCATATCCAAATCCTTAGCTGTTGGATAATCTGTCTGAGAGCTCTGGAATTATTGCAAAAGAATGGCATTAATCCAAAGTGGGAGATCTAGGTAGCAGGCTTGAAAAGACTGTGAAGAAGGAAGCTACTGAGTGATCATACAAACTCAACCAAGAGAATGTTTTGGATCCTTTGCTTGGCTGTGATCATGAATGAATTTTGTAAAAGAACACAGGAGGTATGTTTTATTCTTCATGGTTTCCTGCCAGCATGAAGAACCACATCAAGCAGCTCATCAATCCCACAGAGCTGTACAAGGTCCTGTGCTGTACGGTAGTTGTGAAGGCCAAAAAGTCCGCAAATCAGTATGATCTTTCACTTTCCTGAAAGTCTGTTGGATGAGAACTTCAAAGATTTATACTTTAGCCCTGGGCACATTCCTTACCAAGTCTGAAATCCTTGGGCAACCTACTAACTCAACTTTGCTGAGCTTCTGTCTTCTTCTCATTTGTCAAATGTAGCACAGTATCCACACTGTCAATAGTGGAAGTAGTGGTTGAATGACCTACTTATGTCACAGGGATGTTGTGATGATCTAGTGAAATTATGTAGGTGAAAGGCTATGAAGTGCTAAGTGCTAAACAAATGTAGTGGGAAGATCATAGTTATTCTTTTCATCCAAAAGTAATTTTTCACCTTCACATGCACAAAATCACCCAGGACAGATTGTTAGTACTAGCCTGATAGCCCTCACTTGCTCTATAATTCCTGTAACATAGGTAGGTAGAGTGAGACTACATTCTGTCCAATCAAATGTGAGCAGAGGTGATGCGTGCCCCTCCTGGGAGAGGTAGTTAAGCAGTGAGCACCTCTCTCTCTCCTTTTACCATAGCAACCTTAGAAGTTTCATTTTCCAGATTAGTTCCAAAACAGAGGAAGGTCACTGAACTTGCACTAGACCCTAAGTGAATGAGAAATAAACATTTATTATGTCTAGCCACTGAGATTTCAAGGATTAATCTGTTTTATCAGTCCTTAGCAATCATCACCCTGATTCAGACAGATGTTTCGGTCAGAGAAAGAAAGGCAGTTTCCAGGATTCACAGATTATGCCAACGTTCTCTTCTCTGGAATTTGCTTTAAGTCAAGGGTTCTATTCACTTAGCTCCAAGCTTTAATTTTGATTAGAAATCTTTTCTCCTACTGGGAAATGCCAACCATCCTTCTAGACGAAAAGTTTCCTTTTGCTAAAAAACTTATTTATTTCCAGTCAGATAACATTTTCCAACTACATATACGGTTACATATTATAAGCTCCTTCTTTGATAAATGTATGTGTTCCAAGATCCAATTCTAATTATTAAAGTTTATACCAAACAAACATCATTTTCTCTTAAAGTATAATTTAAATATATTGCTGACATATAAACCGTGACATGAGTGGTGTGCAATTCTTCACTTATGAGTCCGGGGCAACGTTGGCACATTGTCCCACGATGAGATCCCATAGGTCAGCAGGCAGCAAGCACTTCTGGTTCTGCCTGCTGACCGCGTGGAAAGTTGTTCTGGAGGAGGACTCTTCTTCTGTGAAAAGGAGTTATGCGCAGGCAGAGAAGTATCACGTGTGCAACGTGGAAAGGCATTTCACAGAATGCAAACAATATCCAAGTAAATTAATGGACTCTAGAATAAAGTTCCATTAATGCAAACCTCTCATTTACACAACTGAGTATTCTGGCACCTTCTCACTGGGCACTCAATAAATATCTATTCATTGAAGGTAAGAATATACAATTTTAGTTGTCTTGGTATTTTAGCACATTTTTTTGAAACTGGGCTTCAAGTTCTGAGTTTTACTGATGCCATTTTTTTGTTTGTTTGTTTCTTAAGAGTACTTCATTCTATTTGAGAAGCCATTCATCTCTTTTAAACTATCTTTAAATTCTTCACTAGTATTTAGAAACTTTTTTGCAGATAGCCAGCCTTGGGGGTTCCTTAGCTCCAAGAAGAGTAGAAAGTGGTCCATATAGTCAAAGTCCTGATTTATCTCTCAAGGTAAAAAGCCTATTTGGCTCAGAATTTTTTTCCCCCTTCAGTCCCCACCCCCTAAATTTTATTTATTTTGTTATTGTTTGGCTCAGAAGTTTTAAGACCAAGTTTATTCTTCATACTTTTTCTCCTTTTGGCTCCTGTTAATTTCCCAAGCCCCAAGTAGCCACTGGAAACACAGTTTAAGCAAGATATTTCTTGAAATCTCACATCCATATCAACTATTTCCAGAACCTTGGCTCCCTCAGGACTTGAAAGTTGATATCTTGAAGCTCTGTCCTTTGCAGAATTCTCCACCTGCTCCTTGAAGGTAAGGTTCTTGTTCTAAGGCTGAGGCTGGGAAGTTCTCCAAAGGAAATTCCTTGGAATATCTTGATTCCTTTTTGATTCATTCTCACAGTGTCTCTCTCATTCTCCATAACACTATGGTTGCAATTCTGGAGACACATAGGAAAAGTTTCTAAACTCATCTTGGTTAATCATAGGAAGATGTCCCTCATCGATCGGGGTTAAAATTGGCTCTTCCTTTATGAAATCAGGGTCAAAATTACTGACATCTTCTCGGGATTTCTGTCAAAAAGGAAACAAGAGTCAGATTCTTTGCATTTGAGACTTAATCATCTTTCATGGGACTGAGCCCATTCCAATGACTTCAGAGAAACTTCTCTGTAGCTCCATCAGTAGCATTATTAACAGTATGATAATGATGACTAAACAGTACTTTATAGAAATTCTACTGCACTGTGTATCATTATGGCATTTGGTAACTAGCAATTCACTAATCCCATGAAAATCTTGCTGAGCAGGTCAGACTCAGGCTGAGAGGTTAAGGAATTAGTTGGTCACATGAACCATCTGGTCCCCTTACTCTTTATTCTCCATTCACTGAGTCTCCACTTCTCAATTACCCTTACTGTGGGGCCCCAAAGCTCATATTTCTCAATAGAGGTTGAGTAAATTCACACTTGTCCTACCTATTGTTTGCCTGAAGAGATTTTCTCTGAGAAACCCCAAGACATGCTGAGTTTAGGGGAAAATCACCTCTCATTTTTCTCACGAGTCAGATACATTATACTGTGCTGGGAGAGCTGTGCAGCCCAGGGTACAGGCGCCAGTCTCTGAAAGCAAAGCATTCCCTAAACCCAGAGGAGCTTCTCGGGGATGGCCATTAAAGGAAACGGTGTTGCCTCTGGATGCCTGGTGTCCAATGGCCTAGCAGGCTTTTACAGATTAGACGAGTTATATGTTTGAAGAGGAGTCCCTGGGTGGTGCAACTGGTGAACACCTGGCTGCTAACCGAAATATTGGAGGTTTGAATCCATCCAGAGGCACTTCAGAAGAAGAAAGGCCTACAAATCTCTTTCTAAAAAAATCAGCCACTAAAAAACCTATGGAGCACAGGTCTGCTCTGATACACTTGGAGTTGCCATGAATTGGAGTCAATTTGATGGCCACTGGTTATTGGTTATGTTTGGAGAAGCTGTGTTTTATGACTTTATAAACTAATGCTGAATAGATCATTTCTACCAGTGTTAGACTGTCACTTCTCTTGCTAGAGTCAATGATACTTCTCTTTCCACCTTTGTTCCACCCTTCCTCGTAGCTCCCCATCTAGTGCTAGATCCAGCTTCTTTACCTTCCCATTGTGGGGTATGGGTCCCACATATGAGCAAGAGCTCAGCTTCCAGATGGTGAGCTGGACCTAACTCAGTAATGCTGCTCCATTCAGCCGCATGGCTTGGAGAGTGTTCTCCCAGAATTCCTCCAGATTTAAAGCAGGCTTGGTCTGTTTTGGCCTGAGCTTTGTGTTGCAGTAGCCATTATAGACACAGGCTTAGTCAAGTGGCCTGGGTCCAGTGAAATGGGAAACATGTCACATCCTCTCTACTTTCTCAGGGACTTTAGAAAGGCACAAAAGGCACCCTGACTGAGGGGCCTAAGGAAATTGAGTTTGGAACAGTGGATTTTTCAATTAGCCAAACTCTTTTGGAGAAATCTGTGAAGTTTCAGGCCCCTCAGAAGCCTGGAAGATTTGGATTTAGGTTAAGGGAGGATAGAGCCAGAGCAAGTGAGAGGTGAGAACTCCATGAGAAGTATCCTGGGCACATGGAGAGATGATGCCTCAGGTGCAAGGAGCCCAGCCTCCTCCCAGGTGAGGCTGCCCTGTCAAGCATCAAGTTGAGCTTTTGGTCTGGCCATTCCACAGGGGCCATTTGGTTGCCTAATGGACTTCTGACATTAAGAAAAAGAGCAAAGTTGGTTCAACTATAGTGGTCTTGGGCACTTACAATTCTGGGTCTGAAAGGTGGTTCTAGTTGACGATGGTTCAGCTGGGTCCAGTCGATTTCCTTAAAGAAAGGATGTCTCAAGATGGCATGCTCACCTCCCTGAGTCAGGCTGCCCAAGCGCATGGTGGGGTTCTTGGTCATGAACTGAGAGAAAGAAAGTGAATATCATTCATTCACATACATTAAGTATGTCATAAGATAGCAGGCATCAGCTATGGCAGATGAGCCTGTGTGAAGCTCTCTGGCTGATCTTGCTTAACTAACTGAATTTTCCATCATGGGCAACACAGCCAGTGTGAATCATCTTGAAAGAAGCAATTGCTCGTATGTATTTACAGCTTTCCCCACTTCCATTTCAGACATGGTCACTAAAAGAAAGCTGAAGGGTCCAGTTCTCTTTTCCATAAACACTATGTATTTTTCTTTCCTTTTTAAAGAAAAGAAGCTCTTTATAAAATTCTGCCTTTCTCCAACACTGCAGTTGTAGACAGCAGGCATGTTATGAATGGGGCTACTTTTAGGAACAGCTGTGCTATTCTTCAGAGAGACCAGACCAGCCCAGCCAGCCAGTATTCCCACTCTCTGACAAGACCAGAGAGAGAAGAGTGAGACTCATTATTTTAAATATCTGTGTAAAGAAGCATAAATGGTAAAAAACCAAACCAAACAAAACTTAAATTCTTTTTTTCTGGCTCTAGGAATAACAAAGTTGGCCACTTCTCTTTATGTAACAAAGACATCATAGTACTGGGTGAAATTTTTTCTCTTCCAGATGCTTTCTCCCATTTTAAAATAGGTTTAATGACTAAGAATCTGTTGCTACATAGGCCAGAAATGAAAACATTCATTGTCACATATTGAAGCAATGTGTGTCTATAATCCTTTGCATTTTTATCAATTAGGAAACACCTTTGGGGCTGAGCTCCTATAAAGATTTGTGAGCTAAATCCAGTTTCACAAAACGGCTGATATTTTTATCACTTCCTGAACAAGGACTAACCCCCTAAAACAAACCAAAACCAAAACCAAGCCCACTGCCATGGAGTCAACTCCAAGTCATAGCAATCCTATAGAATCAAGTAGAACTGCTTCACATGGTTTCCAAGGTTGTAAATCATTATGGAAGCAGACTGCCACATTCTTCTCCTGAAGAGCAGAAGGTGAGTTTGCATTGCCAACCTTTCATTTATCAGCCAAGCGCTTTGACCACTGTGCCATCAGGACTCCTTGAACAAAGACTCATGCAAGATAATTCACTTTACATGGCTAGAATGTGATTCTCAATTTCAAAGACACTTAAGCTAATTTAATTTCCCATTTTCAAAAGAAAATTACCTTGGGTAATAAGTTTGATTGCTGCTTTTTATTTAAATCAAGCTGTTAAAAAATAGACCTAGGCAACTTAGGATAGCACCGTTTTTCATGTTTGATTTAGGAACATAAGACATAAGTAATGCTGTGTTTATAGAAATTGCTTTGGAGCTGAATTTACAGAGTAAATAAAGAGAATCTTGTTGAGGGCACAGACATTAGAAGTTAGAGTTTGGAGGTCACCTCTGCCTGCCAGGTGTCTAAAGCTGTAAAGTACTAGGGCTGTTTCAAATGAAAATGACAAAGTGGAGAGGGAAGGCTTCAAAGTTCCTAAGGAAATCTGAAAGGAGGTACCTCATAAAATGCTTTAAAAAAAAAAAAAAAAACTTCAAAGAAGCGCTAATAAAAAAATGAACACTGATGGGGTTTAAAGACTTCTCCTTTTTTCCAGGAACAAGGAATTAAAGCCACAAGTGGTGCTGGATTGGAGATGGAACCCAAAAGTCAAGGGACAATTCTGAGCTACACAGGTCCAATCAGAGAAGTTACCACTCCAGGCACTTGAAGTAGTCACTGTAGATTCAGGAAATACATATCTTAAAATTAAACTAGGTTTTGTAAGAGCTAGGAGTCCGTGCTACTTGTGCCACTCCCTGGGTAAGCCCATGCAACTCAGAAAGGAAGGGAAAAATACCTACAGAAAAGAAGGAAGTAGGTGTTCTCCTTAGAAAAAATCAATGGGATATGATCCCTGACGGTTAGCCATTTGTATTCTAAGAGCTAATTAACAAAAAACAATGCTACGACCAACTCAGGCAGGATACAGGGTGGCAGAACAGACCCATGTGGCTTGTGGGAGACTCCCAGGCTTGCCAATGATGCAAGCAGAGGACATCCTGTGACTGTGTGGGTACAGCTCGTTCTTCTGGGCAAGTGGAACGATACAGGGTTCTATCTGCCAGGGTGGCGGAAGCCCTGGTGTCTGAGAGACTTTGTCCATTCTTCCCTGGGCCTGGCACTGAATCCAAGCTTCCACGGGGCAGTCTGGAAAAGGCAGTGCCTGAGGAAAAGTAGACCAAATTCTGCTGTTCCTCCTCAAAAAACTGCATCCCTGCAAAAGTTTGATACTTTCTCTAAGGGCTCTGAGAAATATTTTTCAATAATGAATGTGTTTTATTTTTTGACTTTTGTATATCTTTGCTTGAGTATTTTCGATGTAGCCGTGCCTTATTTAAAAAAAAAAAAAATCTTCAATCCAATTTATAAAGTTTATAGGGTGTTTATTGCATGAAGAGAGTGTGAAGATAAACAGGTGATAAAGCATGTGTCCCATTAAGAACCTAGTTATCTAAAAGGGAGATGAGGAAGTGAACTTTACCTGCAATACAAGGCTGGATAAAATGGAAAGTGACATAGACAAAAAGTTGCGGGAACTAAGAGAGAATGAGTAAGTAGCTTGTGTCAGGTTCTGGGAGGCAGATGAACTCTGCTCTGTATTTGAGGTATGTGGCACCACATGGAGATGATGAGTTGTGTAAATCTGGAATGTGGACTAGGGTTAGAGACCTAACATTGTTGCCGTTAGGTGCCTTTGAGTCATCGCCTCCACTTCACCAAGCATGACATCCTTCTCCAGTGAATGGTCCCTTCTGACAACATGACCAAAGTATGTGAGATGAAGTCTGGCCATTCTTACTTCCAAGGAGCATTCCAGCTATACTTTCTCCAGGACAGACCTGTTCTTTTAGCAGTTCATGATACTTTCAGCATTCTTCGCCAACACCACAGCTCAAAAGCATCAACTCTTCTTCAGTCTTCCTTACTTATTATCCAGCTCTCACATGTATATGAGGTGATTGAAAATATCATGGCTTTTTTGTCAGGGGGACCTTAGTCCTCAAGGAGATATCTTTGCTCTTCAGCACTTGAAAGTGGTCCTTTGCAGCCAGTTTGCCCAGTGCTATACATTGTCTGATGTCCTGACTGCTGCTTCCATTGGTGTTGATTGTAGAACCAAGCAATGTGAGTCTTTGACAACTTCAATCTTTTCTACATTTATCATGACACTGCTTACTGGTCCATTTGTGAGGATTTTTGTTTTCTTTATATTGAGATGTAATCCATACTGCAAACTGTAGTCTTCAGTCTTCATCAGTAAGTACTTCAAGTCATCCTCACTTTCAGCAAGCAAAGTTGTGTTATCAGTGTATCAAAGGTTGTTAATAATTCTTCCTCCAATCCTAATGCCATGTTCTTCTTCACATAGTCCAGCTTCTGGGATTATTTGCTCAGCATACATATTGAATAAGTATGGTGAAAGGATACACTGGTACACTTCCTTCTTGCTTTTAAACTACGCAGTGTTCTCTTGTTCTGTTCAAACGACAGTTTCCTGGTCTATGTACAGGTTCCTTGTGAGTACAATTAAGTGTTCTGCAATTCCCATTCTTCTCAATGGTATCCATAATTTTTTATGATCCACACAATTGAATGTCTTTGCATAGTCAATAAAACACAGGTAAACATCTTTCTGGTATTCTTTGCTTTGAGCCAAGATCCACCTGACATCAGCAATGATATCCCTTGTTTCACGTCCTCTTCTGAGTCCAGCTTGCATTTCTGGAAATTCTCTGTCAATATACTGCTGCAACTGTTTTTGAATTATCTTCAGTAAGATTTTACTTGCATGCAATATTAATGATATTGTTCAATAATTTCCACATTCTGTGGGATCACTTTTCTTTGAAATGGGTACAAATATGGATCTCTTCCAGTCAGGTGACCAGGTAGCTGTCTTCCAAATCTCTTGGCATAGCTGAGTCAATGCCTCCAGTGGGGCATACGTTTGTTGAAACATTTCAATGGGTATCCCATCAATTCCTAGAGCCTTATTCTTTGCCAATTCCTCAGTGCAGCCTCAACTTCTTCCTTCAGTACCATTGGTTCTTGAACATATGCCACCTCCTGAAATGGATGAATATTAACCAGTTCTTTTTGGTACAGTGACTTTGTGTATTCCTTCCATCTTCTTTTGATGCTTCTTGCATCATTCAATATTTTGCCCATAGAATCTTTCAATATTGCAACTCGAGGCTTAAATGTTTTCCTCAGTTATTTCAGCTTGAGAAATGCCAAGCATGCTTGTCCCTTCTGGTTTTCTAACTCCAGGTCTTTGCATATTTTGTTATAGTAACTGACTTTGTCTGCTCAAGCTGTTCTTTGAAATCTTTTGTTGAGCTCTTTTATGTTGTTATTTATTTCATTTGCTTGAGCTACTCTTCGCTCAAAGGCAAGTTTCAGAGTCTCTTCTCACATCCGTTTTGGTCTTTTCTTTCTTTTTTGTATTTTTAATGACCTTTTGCTTTCGTTATGGATGATCTTCTTGATGTCATCCCACAGTTTTTCTGGTTTTTGGTCATTGGTGTTCAATGCATTAAATCTGTTCTTTAGATGGTCTCTAAATTCAGGAGGGATATATTCAAAGTCATATTTTGGCTCTTGTGGACTTGTTTTAATTGTCTTCAACTTCAAGTTGAACTTGCACATGAGCAGTTGATGGTCTGTTCCACAATCAGCTCCTGGCCTTGTTTTGGCTGAAGATGTTGAGCTTTTCCATTGCCTCTTGCCACAGATGTAGTCGGTCTGATACCTGTGTATTGATCTGGTGAAGTCCATGTGTATAGCTGCTGTTTGTGTTGTTGAAAAAAGGTATTTGCAATCAGTAAGTCATTGGTCTTGCAAAATTCTATCATGTGATCTCCAGCATTATGTTAGAGACCTAACATATATATCAACATTTGGGTGAGAACTGAAGCTAAGTGCAGGCAACACTT